TTTACTTTACAGGTTGATTAAATGAATGGGTTGGCAGTAACCTGTGACTGTGTAACAAGGTGACCAAACGAACCAGCGACTGGGTTCAGTAACAGGGTCAGTGGGGTGTCATGACAACCAACTGCATGGAAATGTGGCGGTTTATCTTGTCCTTACTTAATGATATATACTACTCACGAGACGTTAAAGAACACGTGATTGTATGACTACAGTAAATGGGATATTTACTACAGTCAGATGGCAACATGAGTGAGTGAGTGTGGTTTTGTGTCGTGTTTAGCAATATTCCAGCAATATCACCACGGGGACACAAGACTTGGGAAATCAGTCAGTGAGTGAGTATGATTTTATGCCGCTTTCAGCAATATTCCAGCAATATCACATCCGGGAACCAGAAATGGGCTTCACACTTTACCCATGTGGAGAACTGAACCCAGGTCTTTGACATGACAAGCGAACGCTTTAACCACTAGGCTACCCCACTAACCCGATGGAAAAATGAAAAATCAGGCGTGACTTCTTTTTAGTATTATATATCGCTAAGTTTCATATTGCTGTGTACTGTTAAATTATTTCCATCATTACAATGCTGCAGCACCAAAATAGAAGGACAGGCATTATCTAAGCATAACGACGTACCCTGGGTGCTGTATTTGCAGATGCTCTGCTTATCAGCCCTACATTAGTCACAGTGTCCACCATCTGCTCCCATCTCATTACATTATCTTTAAGTCTTTTTCCCCACCACCACTGGAATCGTGGTAATTTTATATGGTGTTAATCTGATTCCAACGGCTGATTCTTTAAAGCAGATTTGATATTTTCCAAATCTAATTTATGAATTATTGTATCTGACGTAGGATATTTTCTTCCATTTCTCTCCTGACTTCATTTCATTACTTAACAGGTTTCTGCAGATCACTGTCAAATATATAGAATGTTTTCTCTTGAAATCCTCCAAACCATTCTGTTACCAATCCATATTTTTTTAACCACAAAAATTTAATCCAAGTTTTTGGGAAAGATTAATCATAAAAAATTTCATTAATTTTGCAATGGAAAGTTCAATGTTATGAAACCAGTGAGTAAACCAGGAATACAGAGTCGAAGGTTAGAGAGAGGTTGGCACCAAGTCTCAGTCTGATGCTGCCATGTTGTCCTTCTCCAACACCAGAGATGAAGCTGGTCAACTGGAGGACACAAATAAACCAATCTCTACCCCGGTATGGGGGATCACATTCCGGAATCTACACCTACCCATCGTCTGAAGGAAATCCCACACATGCTGCATTATTTCAAACTTTTTTGCATGGTTACATTTTGATTTAATCCCCAGATCTGCATTTGTGCTATTTTCAGAGCTAATTTGTGATCCTGAGGTGATACCTACAATGTAAAGTAACATGTTTACTCACATCAATAGAATGAGTTTTATATTTGTGACATGTATATTCAAATACATAAAGCTGACCACACACTTTTGATTTAGAATCAGTTAGTTAATTATCTTGATTTAACTTGCAAAAATGTATCTAATTTTATAAAAAACCATCCTGTAATATGAACACATGGGACATATTTCTGCAAAAGGTTGTCATCTGAGTCAACAATGACCAGTTTAGTTCAGAAACAAGATGGTGTGGGCCACTGGCCAGAGGAAACTAGAGCAGAGGTCATGAAAGGAGAGCTGATTTCATTTGGCAATAACCATACAAGCTGCCCCCATCTTCAGATTGATTGTCCATGGTTTTACGATGCAATCCTTTTCACCCAGTCGTATTTGCTGGCCCAAATCTCAGCTGATCCAATTTAGACTTCATTATATTTTGGGTTTGTGGACAAGATTACTGAACATACAAAACTTGATACATGGAAACTTCTCATCAATGGTCTCCTCACCCATCGTCAACTGCAGATTGGCAGTCGCTTATTACCGATTGTCCCTCATCAATTACTGATTGGTTGTAGTATTTTCGCAACCAACTGGGTTCAAGGGTTGACCATCTGCATTCAGCGAGAACTGTGCCTGGACAGTTCTGTTACAGTCATTCAGCAGTGAAGGAAATGTCAGATCATATTTCTTTATCTTTAATTTGGGGCTGGTTTAAATAAACACGGTTTTGAACGGAGCAACAATACACTAAGGAGAATGTGATGAGCAACGGTTAGCGAAAGAGATCTGTACCACAGTTAGGCAAACATATCTGCGGGACAGTTGTCCAGGATGCTGTTGTTCAAAACAACCTTCACACAAAGACTGTCGTAAGTTTATGTTAAAGTGTAGGAGTTACCATTACCTTAGTGCAAATATCGCTTTGTATAATCTACCCTAGATTGGGCCCTATTTCACAAAGCATTCTTAGCAGTAAGAAAAACATTACGACTGTTACACTACAATATCTGTGCGGACAGGAGCCTTGGAACATAGTTTTAACAAACAGATTTTACAAGGATGAATCTCATTATGACGTATGGTCAAAGAGTGAGACGATTCTGTATTTATGATTCTGTATTTTAAATTCTTTTCATGATCCTGCATTATTCTATTTTCTTTGTGTCATTTTGTGCACATTCACTAAGATTTGGCTTTCAAAATGAACAGTTAACACAACCATCTGTAACAATATTAGCCCCACAATATGCTTCACTGAAATGTCCAACCTTAGCTGGTATAGGACATTTTCTCTTTTATCAGTGTAATTCTTTGATAATCTCTGTGATGTAATTATGGATTAGGTGTTATCAATCATATCAAAAGACTTTGTTATCGGATAGCCCAACTATGCAATATTATCTGAGAGCCACAAACCTGTTAATCATTAATCACTCAAGGGTCAATAACAACACCAGACTCGTTGCCTTGTCCAATTAGCTAATTGTCGCTGACAACTGATTAAATCATGAAAGGAGTTCAGCTGTCAATAGCCAGGCTGTGATATTGATACTGCAATGTAAACTGGGATACGTTCCGCAATATGATACTGTTTGTCTGACAAATACTTCTTACAGATGAACCTAAAACATGGCATTTTGTTATTTCTCATATAATGAAGAACATTACACAAGTCTTTTAGGGATTCTACAACTGTGTCGGACAGATCATTTTTTTCTAAACTGAGAATGAAAAAACAAACACTATTAACACTTCAATATTAGGAACACTTTCACTTTTAAGTCATTTAACATCAATATTATATATTTTCATGCATTAAAGATTTAACAAGTTCTTTTATTGATACCTGAGTTTTGGTAACGATACCTTGGCATTTAATAAACTGCCCCCACTTGTGCTTAATTTCTCTCGACAAAAAGTGATAAAATCGTCAAATCATGTTTTGACCTTATTAACAGTACAAGTAATGCTGCTGCAAAGGTCAGAAGATAGAAGACGTCCTTATTCACTATAGGATTCACCCTCAATATCTGATATTAAGAAATGTGGAGTTTCATATTTCCGAAAGAAATGTTACACTGTGTGATACACTATGAATCTATGGCTGAAGCTGACTGTAGCGAAGTTATTGAATTTGAACTATCATTTGCTGGAGGAAAAATTAGTACTTGTGGTTTCAAGAATCGACATCATGTTATTTGTGCAGTATTTGGCAAACTCTCGTTCCTGATTTAAATTAATATTTTACTGTCTTCAGCACATTTTTACCATCTAAGAAATATCACGAAACACATCTTTATAACAGTAAATTGCCACCTACACTTTTGGTTTAACAACTTTGCATAAAAATAATCAAAGTAATGACAATAAAATCCAAATTTAAAAATCACATTTTATCTCACTGCTCCCACAAGGGATTTTTAATGCATTTTTTATTGCTCTTTGAAAAAGTTTTCCGTGTTAAGATATGAAAGTTTCAATTAGTCATTTCGAATATATTTCATAAAAATATAATAAGTTATCCATTATTTTTACAAAACTGAAAATCATCATAAATATTATTTTTTATTAACAAAAATAAAAATATTTCAGTGTTGCTATCAGCTGACTTTTTCAATTGTTGCAAGGTAGATAAGAAGCAGATGAAGCACTTCTGCAACAAAACGTCCTATCAGAATGGGGACAGTGCTATAAATTATGGTAGGACACTGCGATATCAGTATTGATCAGATGATATCGCTATGAAGTCAACCAAGAGATGATGGCCATCATCCAAGGAAAGACATTCACCAGTCTAAATATTACTGGTCAGATTTAAATCTTAGGCTTTTTACACACAGTAAAGCTTCCCCTGATGGCAACTGCCTCCACAACACATAATGCTCATACAGGCGTATTTACCTTGGTTTGCAAATATCTCTGTGGATAGTAAACAAACTAAGAGCCAAGAAGGTGGACATGTTGTTGGGGAAATAGCAGGAGACATGGTTACGAAGAAGAACAACTGCATTTCGCTATTTGCTTCTTGGGCATAGTAGATGGCAGATATGTTGCAAATGATTTGAGTTTCTACCATCTGAGATCAAATTTGTCTTCATTAATGAATACTCTTTGCGTCAGCTTGTTTAAAGCGTTGACGGAAAATTTGGTGTTTCTTACGAATTTGAAATGAGGCTCCTGAGCCAATGATGTCATTCTGGACTATTTTCATAAGGGAATTGCAAACTGGGTGAAAAACGTCGGCGGAAACATGTTGTGTGAGTTTGGAACACATGTTTAAGATGTTGGAATCTAAAGCCAGGATGGAATAGAAGGAAATTCAGGGATAAATGACGTGATGAACCTAATCAATAATATCCGACCGACAACAGAATTTCACTTCCACATTAAGCACAAACTGTTTAGCGTTAAGATATTTTGATTGTGGAACACTTCAAGTTTCCTTCTTCAAAATAGTTACAAATCGTCATCATTTAACGAAATAATCAAGAAAATACTACACTGCTACGGTTAAGGATGACAGCTGTTGTCCAGAAACAAATGGTGACGTGCAGTTGTGATTAATGGGTAATTAACTTATATTAGAAAATATTGAAAATATTCTCACCTGACGTGTGGGCTCGTCGGACCAGCGCAGACACCAGCACCGCCAGAAAACACACATACATCCTCATAACGCAACCATTAATGCTGGCACATACACCTACCTGGAAATAACAGCATACATATAAGACTATTAGTTTACCTTACCATGACACTAGGGTCAGGGCTTAGGACATGGGGGGAGGGGAGGGGGGATAGAGGGTCAGCTCCTTCTTGTAAGTATCCTTTACGAGCACAACCACCTGTCGTTAATATCCACAGTGATTCAAACGCCTGCTACTCCTTTAGAGGGTGAAAGAAGCATTTCCGTGGTGAGCAGTATCCTCAGTGATAAATCCATGTGGGTTTGAGGTAGAACAGGTGAGTTGGTGTCATGAACACTCTCATTGGAGTCCAGTCATATTCGATTCAGGCAACACACACAACACCACTAAGCTGTGTACCTATTGTGAGACCCCATAATACATAATATACCCATGTGACTCCGAAGCAATTATGGCTGAGTCTGTTGACCAATCACAGATACTGTTACAACATGCCATCAATCTCTTGACTGGGTCACCCTCAACTGTCCCATTGACAGAGGCAAGGCAATATGGCCGGCCTCACTGCTAGCTTGCTAGTTGCAGTGGGTGGGAGAGCACCTGTCTGGCTTAGCTGACCAGTTAGTGGACACAGCTGACTGGCTAGCCACGCAGTCTCCCTGTCTGTCCAAGCTCTGTACACAGCCTGGGCTCCTCACACTGTTCTGTCACTGACTGTTACCTGCCTCAATAGCCTCTGTCGCTTCACTCTCTTACCCTTTGTGGCAAGCAGGTGTTTGAATCGGGGGCCCTATTAGGGTTGGGGAAAGGCTTCAGAACAAGCAGTTATTATTTTGATGTAAATGTCTTTATGGGTATATCAAATAGTAATTAAGGCAATGAAAAACTCAACAGAAGAGTAATTATTACATTCTGCAATAAAACAGTATGTTATTGAGCACTGAATAAGGCATTAATAGAGAAAATTTCAAGTCGAAGAAATTAATCTTGGCATAACTCAAAATTCTTGCATGAATATTTCATTCAAACAGACAGATATATTGACATTTATTATCCAAACTGAAATAAAATTGTCTGCTAAATATTTCAACAGACACATGAACTCGTCTTCACAGAGAAAATGGCAACATGGTTTTGTTACAAATGAGATCTATCTAATGCTAAATCAATGGCATAAAGATAAATGAGTATTTTCACTGTGATCCTAAAGTCATAACTAATTTAAAGCATTCAACTCATTAGACATTTAATATTGTGAGCAAAACGTAGTCCAAAAGCATAAATTTCCTTCTCAAATAACACCTGGACACTGGTATCAACTTGGTTGCCCAGAGAGGGCCTCAGGGCATTTTTTACACATTCAGATGTAAACAATAAGAATGAACATAGGCTGTCACCCCTTGATGGCCAATTAATCATGCATGGCAGAAACACACTGAAGGTAAATGGGCTGTACTAAAAACCTACACCACAGAAACAAATGCATCTGGGGTTTCATCAACATAAATAGTTTCTTTTCTCCATTTTTTCCCAGTGACCAAATCCAACATCTTTCTTGTTCGTTAGTCCATGTTTATCCGTGTGTGAAATGTTGACTGTCATTCTCCATTCTGTTGAATGATATTCTTCTTATGGTATACAATTGTATCATACTGCCAATATGGTGTTATACAGGCACTAGGGTTTTACACAGGATCTGTGGTGTTATACAGGCACTAGGGTTTTACACAGGATCTGTGGTGTTATACAGGCACTAGGGTTTTACACAGGATGTGTGGTGTTATACAGGCACTAGGGTTTTACACAGGATCTGTGGTGTTATACAGGCACTAGGGTTTTACACAGGATCTATGGTGATATACACTAGGGTTTTACACAGGATCTATGGTGTTATACAGGCACTAGGGTTTTACACAGGATCTGTGGTGTTATACAGGCACTAGGGTTTTACACAGGATCTGTGGTGTTATACAGGCACTAGGGTTTTACACAGGATCTGTGGTGTTATACAGGCACTAGGGTTTTACACAGGATCTATGGTGTTATACAGGCACTAGGGTTTTTTACACAGGATCTATGGTGTTATACAGGCACTAGGGTTTTACACAGGATCTATGGTGTTATACAGGCACTAGGGTTTTACACAGGATCTATGGTGTTATACAGGCACTAGGGTTTTACACAGGATGTGGGGTGTTATACACTAGGGTTTTACACAGGATGTGTGGTGTTATACACCAGGGTTTTACACAGGATGTGTGGTGTTATACACACTAGGGTTTTACACAGGATGTGTGGTGTTATACACTAGGGTTTTACACAGGATGTGTGGTGTTATACACTAGGGTTTTACACAGGATATGTGGTGTTATACACTAGGGTTTTACACAGGATCTGTGGTATTATACAGGCACTAGGGTTTTACACAGGATCTATGGTGTTATACACAAGGGTTTTACACAGGATCTATGGTGTTATACAGGCACTAGGGTTTTACACAGAATCTGTGGTGTTATACAGGCACTAGGGTTTTACACAGGATCTATGGTGTTATACAGGCACTAGGGTTTTACACAGGATCTGTGGTGTTATACAGGCACTAGGGTTTTACACAGGATCTGTGGTGTTATACAGGCACTAGGGTTTTACACAGGATCTGTGGTGTTATACAGGCACTAGGGTTTTACACAGGATCTGTGGTGTTATACAGGCACTAGGGTTTTACACAGGATCTATGGTGTTATACAGGCACTAGGGTTTTACACAGGATCTGTGGTGTTATACAGGCACTAGGGTTTTACACAGGATCTATGGTGTTATACAGGCACTAGGGTTTTACACAGGATCTATGGTGTTATACAGGCACTAGGGTTTTACACAGGATCTGTGGTGTTATACAGGCACTAGGGTTTTATACAGGATCCATGGTGTTATACAGGCACTAGGGTTTTACACAGGATCTATGGTGTTATACAGGCACTAGGGTTTTACACAGGATCTGTGGTGTTATACAGGCACTAGGGTTTTACACAGGATCTGTGGTGTTATACAGCTACGCTTGCACACTAGGGTTTTACACAGGATCTATGGTGTTATACAGGCACTAGGGTTTTACACAGGATCTATGGTGTTATACAGGCACTAGGGTTTTACACAGGATCTATGGTGTTATACAGGCACTAGGGTTTTACACAGGATCTATGGTGATATACACTAGGGTTTTACACAGGATCTATGGTGTTATACAGGCCTTAGGGATTTACACAGGATCTGTGGTGTTATACACTAGGATTTTATACAGGATCCATGGTGTTATACAGGCACTAGGGTTTTACAAAGATCTGTGGTATTATACAGATACAAGAGTTTTACACAGGATCTGTGGTGTTATACACTAGGGTTTTACACAGGATCCATGGTGTTATACAGGCACTAGGGTTTTACACAGGAAATGTGGCATTATACAGACACAAGAGTTTTACACAGGATTTGTGGTGTTTACAGGCTCTAGGGTTTTACAAAGATCTGTATACTTGTCTTATGATTAATGATTAATGCTGTGAGTTTTAAGATCATGAAGTTTAACTAGGTTAAAACAGTCTCTAAGATCCAGTTTCAGTTTTCATTTCTGTAAGCCACAGAAGTTAAAACAAACAATCTACCTTGAATGGCATGTAAACTATCAAGCCTTGACCAGTGACTTGATCCGTCATGCTGAAGATCTCACATGACGAACGCATCCATAAAAACATGGTTATAGTGCTAGCTCACTGCTAAATACCACACCTAACAATATTCTTGTTATACCAATGCCGATGGCATGTAAACTATCAAGCCGTGGACCACACAATCCAGAGTGAGTGAGGCAGTATGGCTTTACATGAGTGAATGCTTTTAGCAATATCTTAGCAGGGAACACCAGAAATGGGCTTCACATATTGTATCCATATGGGGAAATCGACCCCGGGTCTTTGACATGATGAGCAAACACTTTAACCACTACAAAAAACCCATACAATCCAGAATTCAGAATAAGCAATGATATTAGTGAGTGAGTTGTGATAAAGGCCACTTTAAACAGTACCTCCATTGGCTGCAATTCCTCACATAAAGAATCCTGTGCTTTTTCCTCTAACAGCCCATCTCTAGAATCTTTCCCATGTGATAGTCCAATGAGATGAGTTTGATATAAATGAATAACTACATTTCTGGATGACTTCTTCCTGTTTACATCATCAAGCAGCCCTTGTGCCCTTACCCTTTACAAAGTCCACTTTACTTCACATTTGACAACGTATCATGGACTTCATACACAAAACTCAAACATGGCTGTTGTTTCACAGCCACATACTACTCAAAAGAAGTAAAGAACAGCTGATTATTTCATGCCATGAGGGCGGTGGGGTAACCTAATATAAGGCGTTCGCTCGTCATGCGAGACCCGGGTTCGATACCCCACATGGGTACAATGTGTGAAGCCCATTTCTAGTATCCCCCGCTGTGATATTGCTGGAATATTGCTAAAAGCGGCGTAAAACAAAATTCACTCACTCACTCATGCCATGACACCTTACTGACTGAGTTTGGTTTTACGCCGCTTTTAGCAATATTCCAGCAACATCACGGCAGGGGACACCAGAAATGGGCTTCTGCACGCATTGTGTCCATGTGGGGATTCGAATCCGGGTCTTCGGCGTGACATGACACATTAACTAAGGTGATATAAAAATCGGTTGTTCTTTAATTTCTTTCATGTGGTATACATTGTATTGACCTGTGAATGAATGAATGCAACTTCCATAACATCACAAACTGACCAATACACTTTAAACTTTGGTACTCTCTATGGATGTTTCAGGAAGTTATGAATAATCATGCTGACCTTTCATTTGCTGGACATTATAAACGGAACCCAAATAACTGGATGCATTATTCATTGCTTAAAAGCAAACATGAAATAAAAATTGAATTTTGCACTTTGAAAATGTACAAATTTGAGAGACAAAAAGATTATTTTGTCACATAGATTATAATTTGTTGATAGCAGTCAATACTGACACAAACGAGAAATGCTTGTAAATTTCTAATAGTGCTCTTTTGCTGAAATGTTCTTGACATTCTGAAATTCTCAATTTTCTGTGAAACCCCAAACCCCAAAAAATCATTTTTCAAAATCAAACCGTGGCACATCATTTAAATATTTGATAAATGTTATCTCGAAATATAAAAAACCCAAACTGTACCAAACCATTAAAACAGATCAAGTGAATATGCCAAAAGATTTTCCACAACCCAGACTGTTCAATCAGACTCTTCATAAATTGGTTGTTAAATTGACATAAATGATAAATTCATGACCGCCATTACCTGAGAAAAGCTAACACCAATTCCAGAGTCAGCATGTGGTGAACTACATATTTGTACAGAGAATATTTATGAAGGCACCTATACCAAGAACGATCAAACACGGCTGCCCCCCTTTGTGAAGAGAGTACCCCTTTTTGTCAATGAAATTTTCAGTCTGAGACAGACGATAAGTAACCATTACCTGCAAAGTGTAATATGAAAAGGTTGTAAATAGGTTGGGCAAAGATGGAACACCTGGTGGTCTAACTAGCTCTTATGGCCATTGAGTAAGGCTCAACTTTATTACAACAATTGAGGATTTTGAAAGAAGGAATGGGATTTTATGAAAGCAACCATGAGCTGAAGTTTAAAGACGAAAGATTACAAAAGATTTATTCTATGCAATATTCATGTGATCTGAAGGTGTGATCATGCTTGTAAAACATCCAGGGGGCAACACAGACATCTGACCCAAAAGTAGGTGGATGCTATTAAATATATTTTATTGCAGATAGAAACTTTTGAAGTTGCCGGGCTGTCTATGAAGGATGGATGGAGGGTAGGATGGATGGAGGGTGGGGATGGATGGATGGAGGGTGGATGGATGGAGGGTGGGATGGATGGAGGGTGGGATGGATGGATGGAGGGTGGGATGGATGGGTGGATAGATGGTGGAAGGGATTGATGGATGGATGGATAGAAAGAAGGTGAGATGGATGGATGGATGGAATAGGTATTTAGAAAAGGAAGGAGGGAAGGAGGGAGGGAGGGTGAGATGGATGGAAGGATGGATGGTGGGATGGATGGATGGATGGATGGAATAGGTATTTAGAAAAGGAAGGAGGGAAGGAGGGTGAGATGGATGGAAGGATGGATGGATAGATGGTGGAAGGGATTGATGGATGGATGGAGAGAAAGAAGGTGAGATGGATGGATGGATGGATGGAATAGGTATTTAGAAAAGGAAGGAGGGAAGGAGGGAAGGAGGGTGAGATGGATGGAAGGATGGATGGTGGGATGGGATGGAATGGGATGGAAGGGGGGAGGTATGGAAAAGAGGAAGGAGGGAAGGTGGGAAAGAAGGTGAGATGGATGGAGGATGGATGTGGGATGGGATGGGATGGGATGGATGAAGGGTGGATGGAAGGATGGATGGATGGAAGAATGGATGGATGGATGAAGAATGGATCGATGAAGAATGGAAGGATGGGGGATAGGATGTAAATAGGTCTTCAGGATAGTTTAATTTTTGCTTTACTCCGCTTTTTGCAACATTCCAGCAATATCACGGCGGGGACACCAGAAATGGGCTTCACACCTTGTACCCATGTGGGGAATTGAACCTATGTTTTGGGCGTGACGAACGAATGCTTTAACCACTATGATACCCTACCTCCCCTCAACTAGTAGTGACAGGAATACCAACACTGAATCAGGTTACAGAAATCAACCGCCTCTACTCAACCCACTGACATACCAAGATGAATAAGGTCTTAAAGACATTTTTCCAGATGAGTAATCACCAATAATCATCAAAATGTGAAATATTTCAGAAAAGGATAGGTCCCAAAGTCCTCATCCTCAAAGCATATTTTTACCTACGTCTCGTTCTGTGTGTAACATGAGTCATGAACTGATAGTTCTTTGCCATGGAACATAATCCCTGGGTGACAGTCTTTACAACATTCATCATCTTCACATGCTTGTACTTCTTTCCCTGAATACATGGCACATTTCATTCCTAAAGCTTAAATTGCTCCATCATTTGGAATAATGGAGAGGATTACCAACACAAAGATGCTGTTGATCACTGGATTGTCTGGTCCAGACTCGATTATTTACTGACACACCACCATATAGCTAGAATATTGCTGAGTATGGCGTTAAACTGGAAACGAACCAACATTAGGTGCCTGACTCTGAGGGTGTGGGTTCGAATCCCGGATGGGACTCAACCCAAAAAAGTCCTAGAATCTGAGCTTTACTAAGAAAGTGTAATCCCAAACATAACATTTGATACGACCAAAATAAAGACCAAATATGTCACATCATTATCGACACTTTTAACATCCCACCAGGTCAACGCGTGGTCAACGTTGTGCAACTGTAGCCATCACCTTGCATAGAGACATGTCACATGATGCGATGACCACACCTTTAATTACAAACTCAGCCATGCGATCACTGCCTTCGGCATTTCCTTTCCACCTGTATCATCCATGTTCTACCTTCAGTTGACATTTTAAACAAATGTAAACACACAGCAGTAAGATGAGCGTAAAGCTATCCCATTTGGCATTGTTCCACAGGAATACAAAGGTCTTACCATCCTTCTCAGATTCAACTTAAAACAGATTATATTTTCCACTGCTAGGAGTGTTCTAACCTATCTAAACCTTACCTCATGCTAGGAAGTCTTTGTTCAGTGATATTTGTTTTTCATTTGCTTTCCTGGTGGTCTTAAAGGGATAATAATTCCAAAATCAGACTTTGAGTACTTCAATTTGAATCTTTGCAAAAACTGTCATTATATATTTGTCAGTTGGGGAGGTTGAGACAAACACATTCCCTCAACCTTCACGGTTTTATTCAGTCAGAAGAATTAATAATCAAATGTAAAAAGCACCGATGTATTTCATGCTCCATAAAATGTGATTGAGCTGTGTTGAACACTGATGTGAACATTACTTCAGCAATATCACAGCATGTCAGGTGAATGGGAGAAAATGTTGCAAGGTTTACAAGTTTACCACTTCGATAACACCTACATGAGGCACATGTTGTGGATCCATACACAAATGACTTTTGTATTATGTCTCTGTTCAGGAAGCAGTAAATGGGTACCCTGAGGGGCAAAATGTTAATGTGACCTTTAACCTTCCAGCACCTCATCAACATCATGGACTGTATATTCCACAGGGAGTTGAGAATGAATATTGAATGACCACTAAGTCTGTGACCAGAGATTAAATGTAGCACGCTTGGTGTTTCAGGGTATGGACTTGGGAGATTACAAATATGCAAATTATTATTGGGATGGTACAAACATATATGGACTTTAATGGCAAATGCTGGATCCAGTTTCATCAGATCCTGACACAGGCCAAGGGATGTAACTTTGTACGCCTAACATCAGTGTCTAAAACATCATGGCCACCATAGGGTCCCTGTTGCAAGGATTTCTCACTTGGAAACTTAGATAATTTAATGAAATACATACAGTTTAAAATTTAAGTGCTTCATTACACTTAAGCTTCTTGAAAATATCATTAACAAATCTCCCATTTAATCCATAATCCTTAATCTAATGTCATGAATACCAGGTCACAGTGAGTGGTAACTGTGTCATGCAGCTTTTAGCACTTCAACAATATACACCAGAGGGCCATTTGGGGGAATTAACCATGGCCTTCGGCAAGATGAAACTAGTGTTTGAACAATAGGCTCTTCAGAGTTTGTGCTTTACAGGTTATACCTCTGAGGACCTGACCACATTCTGGCAACCAATCAGTCAGGATAATGAAACCACTGAACCCATAACAACAAGGCAATTTAATTCCAATTAAAAGTTTTAAAAAAAGAGTAGAAGTTGTTTTGTCCACCAATGAGGATACAACCTATATTTTTTTATCGAGTATTGTATTTCAATTATCACTAATTGACACTCTCCTGATGTGACACTGGCCCCCAACTTCAAACATCCTGCCTCCACGTCATACAAATGTTTTCTCAATCAGGTCAAAAACTGTTGAAGACTCTGTTGTTCAACTGACAGGTCTTAACTAATCTCTGACACATTTCTGAGAACAACT